GTGATCACATCTTAGAGATGAAGTCACATATTGACAAGCCGGAGAGTTGGGTGTCAAAGTCTTGAGAAAGTTGGATGTTCAATCACTTTCTAAGTCACATAGTGAGTTCCTTTGGGACTACTATGAAACAGACTATGACATGAACCTTAATGATCATATCTATTTGCTTGGTGCTGCTGAATCAGCAATGATTTGGAACGATAGTAAAGCAAATTTGATTAGAAGATCAACTTCCCAAAAACTTTATGGACAGTGACAATGGTGACACTGGAAATCCAGAAAAAGCATTCTCTTCCCAATGGAAAGGGATTGGCCATAGTCAACCCGGTTGACCAAATGGTAAAGAGAAAGGCTAAGTCTGAGATAGTCCCATTACCAAAGGGTCCATATGTTTATTTTGCCAAAGGAAGGGGCGTTGATTGCAAAGCTGCCAAATTTACCTAAGGATGTTAAAGTCAATAAGTTTGACTCTACATCAGGTAGAGCCCATTATCTAACTCTGTTAAGTTCTATTCTGAGATCCTCATTACATGATGTGACTGGGTCACATGTTGATGTTTTAAGAATCAAAGAATAGAGAGAAATCTTAAAGGAAGTATATGCTGATTCTGATCGCGAAGGTGGATTTCGATCGCATCAGAATTTTGAGCAGTTGCTTAAGAAGTTATGATATATTGCTAAGGAATAGATAACAACAATTTTCCATGTGGATTGTAAGGATAAGTTTTTCCGCAAAGTTTTAAAATAAAAGAAAATTGTTTAATTTTATTTATTTGAAGTATCCTTACAATGGCATTTGTGGAAAATTGTTGCTTATATGATTCCACTGACAGCAATATTGGAAAATGGATTTGATTCTTTCATTTGTGGTAGTGTCTAAATTTACCAAATCAGGAAAGTTCCTCATCACCCAAGTTTCAATTGGACCGAAACTTGGAATCATGCAAGTTGAATAGTATGATGAATGAGAACTTTCAAGCATTGGAAAATCAAGACTAATTACTTGTTCACATGGATGTGTGAGTCAAGTGAAGGACTAAAGGGATCGAGTACACATTCTTGTGCACTGGTCATGTCCACCACAAAGCTCGTTAAGACTATTTGATTTACTAAAGTTTAGTAAATATGGTTATACTTACAAGTTTAAGTATAATTCTGAAACATTGGAAAAGTCTCAATGTATGGCAGAACGAATGGGAAGAATCAAATTAGGCAGAAAGATAAAAGTTTTTCAAATCTGAAAAGATGGGAGAGTACTTTAGTATCATGTTTGTGATCATCTTAATGATTTAGAAATCATATCACAATTAGTCCTCTAAAGGTCATCTTAGTGCATTCTTATGACTAAGAAGAGGAGTCATGAATTGTTGAAATGGTTAGATCAGGAAGATGAGTCATACTTCGTTCCAAAACAATTCTTAGAGTCATACTCCAAGATTGTAACTTGAGTGACATATCTTAAAGAAAGGTTTAAAACACTTGTCAAATGTAAGAGTAAAAGTGTCCTACTCTTGTACATTTGAAATTGGTAAGTTGTGATGTTTTGGATAAAACAAAGACCAACTAAGGCCAATTGTGTGAAGTGTTTGTCTTGATAAAGAATCCGCACTATCTCTTGAATATTTGGCAAGATAGTCTTATATGTCAAGAGGATAGTGGGAGTCTTAAAGATCCTAAAAAGAATTTCAAGAACTAATCAAGAATAAAACCTGAGGTTCTTCACTAGCACACGACTTGAGGTTTATAACCTATCGTGTTGACATATTCTGTGCCCATTCCAGTTAAAGTTGGCTTTGCATAGGAGTTCTGAAAGTTCTCAATTGGTTGCATAACAACTTGGAAGCAATGGCAGGCCTGTACTGCCAGGTGGCAAGAAGTTAAGATTGCATAAGTTCAGTCCATATGAGTTTGGATTTGTCATTATCCTTGTCTTGTGACTATGGTTTTGACGATTCACATGGATAAGAACACATACACCATAAAATCTAAGGGTCATAAGGTTTCTCTCCGATTCATGAAAATGATGGTGAGGAAACACTTCCACCAAGTAGATTTGAAGCAGATGGCAAAAGGTCTAAACAATTGAGACTATGATTACGGCATCCCTTTTCATAGTTCTGAAATTGTTTAGACACACATGCATGCTATCTAAGGAAAGGTGTATGATTTTGATAAAGTTTTATCAAAACATCTCGTATCAGAAATCTGAACTTTGGTAAGAAAGTCAATAAAGTATTGATTTCTAGAAGTCCAGCTGATTTCTGAGTACATGTCAAAGCTAGTGGGAGCATAAGTGTTATGCTAATAATCATCATGTAAGTGAGAGCATGATAATTATTATTAGTGTTGCAAGTTAGCAATGTTAATTATAGAAAACAAAAGTTTAAATTCGTGAGGCTGCAGGGATTGAAAAAGTTGTTTTGCTATAATTAAGGGAGAGGATATACTTCATTTCAGTTCTAAAGGCTTAGATTGAGACCTTAATCATCTTTAGTCAAGAATATATATATGAATTTCATGTTGGATTGGTTCAACTTAAGGAAATTCTATATATTGCGTTCTCAAAATTCGATTATGATTACGGCATCCCTCTTCATAGTCAAATTTTGAAAACATGGCAAATAAAAATATTGTAGCAAAAGACTGGTCTAGAATCATGTCTTTATGTGAGACATCATGAATCGTGTACCATTTGCTTTGGGTACAGGATCGATTGCATGTGCTATAATATTTGTCATTTCTAAATTTTTTCCAAATGCCCAGAGGCATTAAGAAGGGAAAAGGTCTAGAATTGGATATGACTAAAATGATTAAGCAATTGTCGAGGACAATCTGAGGTTTACCAAAGATTGGTTGCTCAGGGACAGTTGGAAGTATAGTGCTAATTTTGGAAGGACCATATTGACATATTCTGAAAAGAGGCATCTCTTATTCAGAAGTGATAGTCAAAATGAGAATATGGAGTTGTCTCCATAGGTGGAAGTTATCTGTGTAAGATTAGAAAACTTAATGCAAGAAGCATGTCCAAAGCAATGTACTTTGAATATGAGACTTAGTTTCCATGGAGTTGATCTCCATTGGAATACCTTATAATGACTGTTGACAAGTCTTTGTGACTTTGTACATATTCATTACAGGAGGGTCAGTGCATATAAGTTTAAAATCTAAACAGATTTCGATAAATGATAGGAATTTGAAATTCTCACATTTTTCGATAAGGATTTGGGAGTGTGAAATTAGAATCATTGAAATTATGTTCAATTGGTTTATTTCACAAAGTAAGGATCATAGACAAACATAGAGTGGATACTTGGTGTATGGCAAAGCTATTGTTTAAGAAAAACATAGTGTACATGCTTGGAGCATGGGACAACTAGTGTTTTTAATTCAAGTATAAAGTTGATAAAACCGAAACAATGAATAATGAGTAATCAGTATGGTGATAAATAAAAGTGTTTATTTATATTCATAGGGTTTGATACCATATTTGATTCATTTATTCTTGTGTTTCACTTTGCATGTTTTGACTTCCAGAATAACTAAGTCGCTCTTCCTGAATGATTAAGTTATTCAAACCATCCACAGTCGGTCATATGTTGGAAGTAGATATGAATCAAGACTGTCATGGGTTGGTTTGTAGAGGTCCAAGTTGGTGGACAAAATGGTGCTACAACACTCATGAGTGCTCATAAGTTCTGAGTATTGGATTCAACCCGCGCTCATTTGAATCACTTCATGGATTTTATCACGAGTGATCATGAGACGATAATATCTTATATTCTTCAAACCTAGAGATATGAGTTGTTACTATGAGTTGGTTATACATTGATTGCACGAAAACGCATTTGGTAACTTGATGTTATAAAACGTGCCTTTGTGTATGATTCAACAAGTAGTAGAACAAGCCATATGAGTCGAAGTTTATCCATTCCTTTTACCTTCGGGATAAAAGCGATATCTGTGGGCCCCTCGATGATTTAGCGATGACACATGTGAGTGCTTGGCCAAGCCAGGACTGATTTGATTTGTTCAATCAGTCAGTCATCATAAATCGAAAATCGGGAAACAACAAATGGACAGAGAGAATGATTATAATCCATGTCTCAGTCCATATGATATCTAGAATGGAGGAATATATGATCTCTTATCTAATGGACAAGTCATTGACAAGGTCAGAGTTCGACAGCGGCTTTAAGAGCTACGATTGCCAGTTAGGTTTTGAAGTCATACTCAATAATAGTTTTAGACGTATCCAAGTGGGAGACTGTTGGATTAATGTCTAAGTCCATAACTATATTTGGTATGTACTTGACCCGACCCGGCATGGTCCATTTGGGTTGCACTTCACCGACACAATTTATATGGATAGTCTTTTGAGAATAGTATATTTATGATTTATATTAATATATTATAAGTTCTAATATATTAATATGGAATCATATTATTTAATTAGTATTGATCAAGAATTAATTTAGAATTAATTAAGTGATCAAAAAGAACTAATTAAATATGGACTCTTATATATATGGAATGGGCCAAGTTTATTTAGGTTGGGCTAAGCTTTCATGGATGGTCCATGGAGCTTTTAACCCATGGATCCTATGTAAATGAAAGTTCATGGGTATTAGGGTTTACATGGATGTAACCCTAATCCTCCATAATATATAAAGGGGTCTTTGGCTCACAAAATTGACACAAGTGTGTGAAAATAAGAGTGGGCCGATTTTAGTGTGCATACATATTCTCTCAAGTTCTTCCAAGGTGTTTTGGTGATTTGTGATTCCATTTGAGGCTTCCACACTATTGGGGCTAAGCTCTTAAAGCTTGAAGACATCAAGCTACATCAAAAGGTATGTCATCTAACTAGAACTTTGTAGTATAGGTGCTTCATAATATGCTAGTTAGGATGAAACCTTGGAATATTTAATATTTGTATGTATAATAGAGAAAACATAGATCCAAGGTTTATAGGGTTGCATGTACACCATAGAAGTGTTAGAATGCTCAAAACCCAACAGAAACTTCATGGAGGTGATTATATTTATCTTCTTTTGTATGTGGATGATATGCTTATTGCTTCGAAGAGCAAGGTGGAGATAGATAGGCTGAATTCTCAACTAGGTAAAGAGTTCGAGATGAAGGACATGGGAATTGCCAAGAAAATACTGGGTATGGAGATTAAAAGAGAGATGTTGAACCATCGATTATTCTTGAGCCAGAAAGGCTACATTCAGTGGGTTACCACGAGGTTTGGAATGCAAGATTCCAAGTCAGTGGTGACTCCATTGGATCCATATTTTAAGCTATATAGTAGACAATCTCCCACTAGAACGAAAGATAAGACATATATGGAGTGTGTGCTTTATGCCAGTGCAGTCAGCAGTTTGATGTATGCCATGGTGTGTACACATCCATATATTTCATAGGCGGTCAGTTTGGTCAACAAGTTATGGCAAACCAGGGATGGAACATTGGGAAGCTGTGAAATGGGTCTTGAGGTATTTGAAAGGAACCACTAATATTGGTTTATGCGTTGGTGGAAATACATGTCGAATTACTGGATTTGCGGATTCAGATCATGCTGGTGATCTAGATAGATGTCGATCTACTACTGGTTATGTGTTCAAAATATATGGTGCTCCAGTTAGTTGGCGATCGATGCTATAAAATGATATTCGATGCTATAACAGAGGGTGTAAATGAAGCACTGTGGTTGTGGGATTTTTAGATGATGTGGGGTTTGAGAAAGATTGTGTAGACTTGTGGTGTGATAGTCAAAGTGCAATTCACTTAGCTAAGAATCAAGTTTATCATGCTCGTACCAAACATATAAATGTCAGATATCATTTTGTGCAGGATGTCATAGAGGATGGTGATATTTCTCTTATGAAGGTGCATATAGATGAGAACCCAGCAGACATGTTAACCAAGGTGGTATCAGGTGGTAAGTTTAAGCATTGCTTGAATTTGCTTAATATTTATCAGTGTTGATTGCCCTTGAGGGCAATGGCCTTGCGGAGAGGTGTCAAGGTGAGGTGGAGTTATCATCTAGTGAAGTGAACTATGGTGGCTTGATCCCTGATGAGGGTATGTAGGCAACCACAGTTAAATGGAGCATCTGGATTGAGTTTTACATATCAAGGTGTGCAATTTCTTCTTTGGTGTATTGTCCAAAATTTAAGGTCTATCAAATGATATTCGAGGTGGAGAATTGTTAGTAGTCAACTCAAGTGGTCAGTTTAGTAAGCTTGAGTCAGCCTAGTAACTTAAGTTACTAGCCCGATTGTTTGGCCCAAGTTAAAAGGCCCATGTATACTTTGTTATGTAATTCTCAGTGAAGAGAGGTAAGGTTAAAAACATTACATATTGTAGAGGGAAAAGTTAGGTCAATCTCTTAACCTAATACAAAAGGCTCTCTCTTCTAGTGTGGATGTAAACAAGCTTGTTGAACCACGTAAATATGTTTTTATTCTGTATTTACTTCCATCTTGCTTGGTTATTGTTATTGTTTGTTTTTTGGTTCATAGGGCAAAAACGGTAATCTTACCAAACAAGGTTAGCTGCAATTAATTTTCTATTTTCTGCATTTTTTCTGATGAAACAACAAGTGAGATAGAGAGAAAGAGAGGTAGGAAGGAGAGAGATTGTGACCTTTGTAGCTGCAGTCGTGACATCACAATCACAATGCATGGGGTTGTGTTGAGCCTTCACTCACGCATAACTTGGCTATGCCAAATCACCTTACGCATCAAAAAACCAAGCACTCCGTATAACATCATGTGTCAAACGCCAAAAGAGCATTATGAAGCTCTTCACTTTTGGTATTATCAAAAACCAAACTTACAAAGTACATATTCAGATGTTAAAGACAACCACAACAAATATTGTAAAATAAAGTTTTCATTATTGGGACCAAGGTTTACACCTTCCCCCTTTCCCCTTTCTTTTTCCTATTAGAGACTTTTTCCATTGTCTTTGTAGGCTTTTGACGACCAACCATTTTCCACCACATTCACCTTATTCACATTAGGTAGGTAACTAGTTTTTAGAGCCATTTTGTTCCATTCTTTAATATAAATACAAAAAAATGAGTTACTCCATGATCATCTCCTTTTATATCAGTTCTTCAAATCTACCTATCTGATAGGTAGTTTCTTGACCATATTCACAACATAAAAAAGTCTCGAACATAGTTATTATCTTGGCGTAGAAGTCATGTAGAATAATCTAGATTTATTGTCCTTGACTCATAATGGTTTTTCGATCATTTATTTTAAAGTCCAAGAACCGCACTACCATAATTTCTTGGTCCAAGCATCCTTTGTTTTGGTCCATTGACTCCCATGGTTCTTTTGTCGTTGATGCTTTGCAATATAGGTTTTACAACACATCAACCAACCAGTTCAATACGTTGTTTCAGCAAACAAATAGAATGCTTCCAAACATCTATTGTACTCACAGTTTAAGCATTGTTATCCCCTTTAACATATTGGGGAGAAAAGTCGGTCAATAACCTCACAAGGTATAAATACGTTTTCTCCTACCATCATTCTCTTGAACAACGGCTTACCCAAAGTTTGAAGCATGTTGGATATAAACCTAAGGCAATTTCATTTTGGAGTGCTTAATTTCCTAGTGACCTTTATTAGGCCACCTTCATGGTGGTTACCGCTACCTTATAAGTACATACCAAAAAAGGTTTTTTGGCATCTCAACATGATTAGAAACCATGGAAGAAACCATAACAGATGGTACCTAATGGTGGTGTAACAGTCGTCATAGTATTTTACTCCATTATAAAAACATAGATTAAATTGTTTAAAAGGTATTAAATATGTTTTTAAATTTGTTAGAAAATTATTCTTTAATTTGTTCCACATCTTCCAAAGTAAAAAAAAAACTATTAATTACAAAGGAAAGAAAAAACATAGAATGAAAATGGAACAATAATGGATTAGACTTATGTTGGAGACGATTCCTTTGAAACATATTTGCTACATTACATTTTTTTCCTAGAGTACTACCATATTTGGAACAAACTTCTATGAACATATCACTTGAATATGAACATGTTCTTTGATTGTTTATGTGTTGTGGGTATGTCCTTTGTTTTATACATTCTAACTTGTCTATGGTATATACATTCTAACATGTCTACTATTTATATTTTATAATATGTAGACTGCAATGAGAATAACTCCCACTTTATAGTAAAGAAGTCAACTTGAATCTGTCACTGCTAGTTTCGAAAGTAAATGTTTTTTTTTAACCCAAATTAAAACAAACTTAAATTGGGAATTAACAAACTTAAAAATATACTTGAAAAAGAAAATTAATTCATGGTGGTAACTAAATTGGACAAATTTAACATCAGATATGGGTAAACTTGACAAAGTAGTTTCAATAAGTTAGCACAAACAGTTCGAGTTGCCAAACAACTTTAACAGTTAACTCAAACTATCAAGTAGTCCGGTTACTTATGTACGTATAGAGGAGTATCTACATACAACACTCACATGGACATAATGTGTGTCCTTAACCATCTCCACACACATGAATGTATGGTGCTCGATCGTATATGAACTTTTACCATTCAACTAGATGATAAGAGATCCTTTATAAGACAACTTAATTTTTCGTTTTAAGTTCCATCATCCAATCCAAATATCTTAGTTAGAAATTTGATATCCCATTCACCCTAACTACGAATGTGGGATACATCTCTATGCGCTTCAAGAATCACTTTGTTAAATACTACATAAATGAATAAATGAATTGTAAATTGCAAACTTTATGTTTGTTTAAAGTCAATTGACTCTTTTTCTAATTAAAAAAACATGTTTTTCAACAGTCTACTACGTTAAATTAATGTTTATTGTTTTGTAATGTAGCCTAAACTTTTTCTAAATTTTAGCAAGTTCTATTAAAATAAAATTAAATGAAAATAGTTAAATATTTTAGGGAAAATTTGTCAAATAACAAAAATATGAAATGAGTTCGAAAAATGTGACCAACAAAAACTGATTTTCATAAAATGACCAAGGTTTCCGCAGAGATGGACTCTGCGTAACTGCTACACTTCTCCTGAAAATAGTCTTTTGTTTTGTGGAATTGGACACATGTGCAAAAAGACAAAAATTTGACGTCTGACGGGACGGGTCTGTAGAGAAGGTCTCTGCAGAAATGGGTACGACCTCTGCGGAATTATTAATTCTCTACGGAAATGGTAGCTGGAGTGGTTAAGAAGCATTTCTAACGTCTGACAGATTAGCAAAGAAGGTCTCTGCGGAAATGGCTACGACCCCTACATAATTAATAATTCTCTACGGAAATCCCTTTCTTTTTTGTATTTTATCTATGTAGTTGTACGATTATACCCTTGCCATGTCACTTCCTCAGAGAACTTGGGCTTCTACAGAGCATAAACGGGTTCTGCAGAGCATAAACGAGTTCTGTAGGGCTCGTCTCTTCTGAAACCTTTGTCATTTTATGAAAATCAGTTTTTGTTCGTCATATTTTCAAACCCATTTCATATTTTGGTTATTTGAGAAATTTTCTCAGTATTTTATACAAATATGTAGCGGTTGTTTGAGAATGCTTTTTAATCTCAAAAGTGTTTTTGAGAAAAGTTCTGATTGACATATAACTTTTTAGAAAAGAAGTTTTGAAAAAGTGTTTGGATTAGCTTCTATGTAGTTGTACGATTATACCCTTGCCATGTCACTTCCTCAGAGAACTTGGGCTTCTACAGAGCATAAACGGGTTCTGCAGAGCTTAAACGAGTTCTGTAGGGCTCGTCTCTGCTGAAACCTTTGTCATTTTATGAAAATCAGTTTTTGTTCTTCATATTTTCAAACCCATTTCATATTTTGGTTATTTGACAAATTTTCTCAGTATTTTATACAAATATGTAGCGGTTGTTTGAGAATGCTTTTTAATCTCAAAAGTGTTTTTGAGAAAAGTTCTGATTGACATATAACTTTTTAGAAAAGAAGTTTTGAAAAAGTGTTTGGATTAGCTTTTATGGCGAGAAAAGCTAAAAAAATCAATAAATTGGTTTAAAAAAGTGTTTTACCTAGCTTTTTAGGAGTAAATGATCAAAAAGCCAATAAGCAACCAAAAAGCCAAAAATTTGTGACTTTTTGAAACTCCTATTTTTTGCCGAGCCAAAAAGTCATTTTGAAAAGGATTTTTAAACAACACAAACACATTTTTAGCAAGTCAATTTGAAAATCGGGATAATGACTTAAAAATGTAATATATTTTTCGCTTTGTAAACATTTTGTCACTAAGTTTTTTTCGTTCATATTTACCCCTTCAACTTTTTTAACTGTACACATTTAGTCCTTATGACCGGTTACTTCAGGTAAGCCGTAAAAATGACTTAAAAAGGTAATATATTTATCATTATTTAGCCCTTAATATTTTTTTGCACATTTAGTCCTTAATTTTTTATTTTATTTTATTTATTTATTTATTTATTTATTTTTGCAAAATAAGTCATTGTTGTATTTGTACACATTCAATACTTATGACTGGTTTTTTAGGTTTTTCTCATGACATATTACGCGGGACAATCAACGGTGTTTGAGGTTGTTCATGCTTAAGGCCACCGCGACATCGACTACTTGGTTTTTTAGTTTTTGTGGTATGTCTTAGGTCTTGTGTTCTAAACGTTGTAACTTCTTCATACGATCACGAATTTTAACGATCTTTATATCCACACGTTTGTATTTGAGTCTACTACAATTTTCGTTTAGATTAATCCCATTAAAAACAATATATTTTTAATTACGATTTTATAAAAGAAACGTTCATACATACATTCATAAAGAATGCATGGATATACAGATCGTAAATAAAAATGTATTACTTTTTAACGGAAGTAATCTAAATGAAAGTTATAGTAGACTCAATTACGAACGCGTGGATATAAATATCGTTAAAATTTGTAATCGTTTGAAGAAATTTTGACGTTCAGAACACAAGACCTAAGCGAAACCACAAAAACTAAGCAACCAAACAGCCGAGGCAACAGTAGCCATAAGTATGAACATCCCCGTATACCTTATTAATGATTGTCCAACATAGTATATTGAGAGAAAAACCTAAAAAAACCAGTCATAAGTACTGAATGAGTACAAAAACATCAATGACTTATTTTGCAACAAAAAAATATTAAAGATTAAATGTGAAAAAAATATTAAAGAATAAATGTGTACAAAATAAAAAATATATTACATTTTAAGTCATTTTTTCCGGTTTGCCTGAAGTAGCCGGTCATAAGAATTAAATGTGTATAACTAAACAAGTTGAAGAAGTAAATACGAACGAAAAAAAGAAAAAAACTTATACGAATAAAAAAAAAGTATATTACCCACTCATTATCCCTTTGAAAATCACTCCCATACACAATAGAAAACAAAAAAATATTTACAATGCATAAAACGCGGACACTTATGAAAAGATTTGAAGGAGAGGGGCTATCTTGAAAATATACATTCATCAACATCTGCGATTCGATGGATCCTACTTGGGTTTGATGTTTTCCAGTTTTCCTTCTTGACTCTGAACGCTTGTTAGGGTTTTGGAATTGGGATCTAAATCCTGCTTATGTTTCGGAGCGTCTTCAGTCGCTAATCACCAGGTATTTTGACTATGACATCATCAGTAATTTGCTTTTGATAAAATTTTGTTGCACGATTAGATGTATACTTCGTATGATACCACACTGTTGTTCGAGATTCAGAGATTGCCCATACATTTACTGTAATTCGTCTTATGTGTAGTTATATTGTAGGTGCTGGCTGTAATATCCATATCGTTACTCTCTGACTTTCCGAGGAAAGTTAGCGAAAATTACATTGATCTGAACTGTGTTAATGTTTTGGTATGCTGAAGCTAATGCAATTAAATTTATACGAATTGTTATTCAGGTTAACTATTTTTCAGGTAATTAAAGTGTTTTTTTGGAATTCTAAAAATTCATGTTAATCAAATTAAAGACGATCCATCTGGCCTCGCAAGAGATAGTGTGTCTCTTTCTCTGTTTGGGACTTGGTAATTTAAAGCAGTATAGGTTTCATTCTCATCGTTCCTTTGGTTTGTTAAGCCGTAACTAGCAGAGTAGCAGTATATTGAATCTTATTTGATTGTGCCTCTAGGATCTTAATACAATTTGCTCTCTACAAGTTTTAGTATTTTTGATAATTGTTTTGTAGTTTTATGATATTAAAGTACTATATAAGACTTTCTAAAGTTTTGTAGTATAAGGGCATAACTCAAAGATGCATCTTGTCATGACTCATGCCTATACATACTCATGATCAGATTTGTTAGTTTACATATATGAACCAGTAACACTATATGGTCTAAATAAAAGTATGTTCTCTAAAGCAGAATAGGTTACTAAAACAGTAAAGCTTGTGTAATGATAATCAGATAGTTAATTATGAGATTGCTATTCTGGTTTCAGGAGAAGCTACAGAAAAAAAAAAATCCCAAAGGTGTTAAGGTGTACAGACCAAATCTATGGAGAACAGCGAACCATTCAGTTCCTCAACAGCACCGCTGACATGGCACGACTTCCTAGAACGTATGCGACACCCATCAGCCGCCGAATTTGTAAGAGCCATCAAAACCTTCATCGTATCAATCTCAAACACACCTCCAGATCCCGAAACCGACAGCACATCCGTACAACAATTCCTCGCCAACATGGAAGCCTCTTTCCGGGCCCACCCGCTGTGGTCAACCGGGTCAGAAGAAGAACTAGACAGTGCAGGCGAAGGTCTTGAAAAATACATCATGACAAAATTATTCCCCCGTGTCTTCGCCTCACACCAACACGACATCAAACAAGATGAAAATCTCCACCAAAAATTATCTCTTCTCCAACAATTCATCAAACCCGAACACTTAGATATCCAACCAACATACCAAAACGAAACCTCGTGGATCCTCGCTCAAAAGGAGCTTCAAAAAATCAATATCTATAAAGCCCCACGAGATAAACTTGTTTGCATACTTAGTTGCTGTAAAGTTATTAGTAACTTGCTGCTTAATGCTTCGGTTGCTGCTAATGAAAACCCTCCTGGAGCAGATGAGTTTCTCCCGGTTTTAATCTATGTTACCATAAAAGCAAACCCTCCTCAATTGCATTCCAATTTGTTGTATATTCAACGATTCAGACGCGAATCCAGACTAGTTGGAGAAGCGGCTTATTTCTTTACAAACATGTTGTCTGCTGAAGCCTTTGTTACAAACATAGATGCCAAAGCGCTTTCCATGGATGACACCGAGTTTCAGAAGAATATGGAATCCGCTCAAGCACTTATTCATGGCCTATCCACCGATTACACTACTGGTCAAAGCATTGGTCAAAGTATGTCATCTGAGAATAGTGAATCAACAACCGAAAAGGAAAAGGAAAAGGAAAATGAAAAAGAAAAGGAAGTATCATCGGTGAAAAAGAACTTATCGGTTTCAGATTTGGAGAATAAAGGGGCTGATATGATTGTAAAAGACGGAAATGGAATTGAAGAGTTTCGGAATTTTCCGTATTTGTATTCGGAAGCGGGTGATATGACAATTGGTGACGTGGAAGATTTGTTAGATGGTTATAAGGAACTTGTGTTGAAGTATGTTAGTCTTGCGAAAGGAGTGGGTGTGGGTGGTGTTTCAAGTGAAGATAAGTAGAAACTAGGATTTGTTTTCATTATAAATTTGTATGTTTTGTTTTCATTCTTATTTTGTTATACTGTTTGCTTTAAGAAAAGCTGAGTATTCATATACATATTTCATACAAATCAAATCAAATCAAATCGTCTACTCATCATCTATCACAAATACAGTTGCGTTTTCCTTCTTGAAATCATGGGTTGTATGATCCACCACCTGCACAAAACACAATCACACATGAGAATTAAAATTTGTAATTTCACATAGATAAAAGTCAAGAAGTAGTTGCATATATACTTACATTAGTATTGGTGAGTTCAAGATTGTAGAAATCCATGGAATCCGGCTTAAACAAAGGACCGGCATGCCAAGTTCCCCGGTGAAGCTTCAGGAATTTTGGACCGGTGATTTTGAAGACGTGAACACCGTCAACGGCGGGAGGTACAAAGAAGTGACCACTTCGTGATTGCAAAACGTTTGGACTCTTCTTGTCTAATTCAACATTTGGATCGACTATGGATGACTTTGCAACTCCGAGATACCAAACACCACCGCCGATTGAACCCAAGCACTGGGTCACACTAGCATGATGTGTTATTGTCGAGAATTTTAGGGGCCGAGCTTCAAGGTTCATGATGTAGAACCTGTAAATTTAATTTCTAGTTTTATAAATCGGAAAAGCAAATTCAAATTCTAGTAAGGAAGGAAGGAATTACGTAGTACTACTGATCGATGTTCGAAATGGAAAGAAAACCCTAGAATTGGCAGAGAGAAGAGATGTGTACCTAGGAGTGCCTTGGGAGAGGTCGAGTTGAGCATCGTGAGGACCGAACTCGTCGCCGTCCGGCGACGCCTGAATCACTTGTCCGAAATCTTTGAATGTCTCCGGTGTTGCTTCAATAGCCTTCAATTTCACCACCGCCGGCTCCATTGCATCCGCAAACTGTTCCAGTGATGTTGATAATTCAACCGTGAACGTCGATATTTCGAGGAGTACTCTTGATATAATTATTTATTTTGGATTAGTCCCTAGTATTCGTTCTAATTTAAAAACATGCACTAAACCTCTCGTTTTTTAGAGTCGGGAGTAACTCTGAAACGTTTGCATATGTACTGTAGTAGTAGTTAATTCAATTCTTTGACTTAACAAACGACGACATGACTTAATTTTAAACATAATTGTCTGAACAACATCTTCTCCACTTAATACAAAAAAGGAAACATTGCTGATTTATAATATCTATGAGAAATTAAATTACCTACAATTATTTATACCCATTAAAATTATGACAAATCATCATCCAGTTTAATTGTATTTCATATATTCCTAATATAGCCTTAAAGAGTTAGTTAAAAAAAATATTGAATGATGACACTTGTCATAATTTTATTGGGTAGAAACATTTGTAGGCATAAAAAGTAGAAAGCAATTTAATTTCTCTCTATCTTATATCATTTTATAACAAAAGAAATCTAAATATGGATGTAAACGCTTTATAAGCAAAGTCTATGGGCGTCTTTGACACATACCTAATACCTTTTAGTAACTTTTAAGAAAAAACTCGAAAATATTAGTATACTAGTTGTGAAAATATTTGTGAACTTTGAATTTATAAGAAAATAAGAAAAATATTGAATTATTATAATAGAAATGTTTTTTATGTTTTAAATTTAAACAAATACTAATTTAAATAAATAAAAAAAACTAATAAGCTTTAATTTTGAGAATTTTGAAATTAAAACCTAAGTTCATTAATGAAATTGATATTCATTTATTACTACATTTATTGCAAGTATTATATTAAAATATTATGTGAAATTTAATAAAATAGAAAAACTCATAAAATGACATGTGGAAAAAAATTAATTCAAAATAACCATAAAATGACATTTGGCAAATTGAATGAGAGTATGACAAGTGGCAAAAAAACATTCATTTATTAGAGATGATGAAAGTGCCCCTTAGACACTCCGGGATATGAAGCCATTCCTAGATGGTTACAATTCCGAGACGACATAGTGATTCCGGGATCATTCCTCATTCCGAGATAGAATGTTGTTTCAAACGTGAAGTGATGATCCAGAGACCAAAACCTCGAGATGACTAGTTCCGAGATGCCTTGGATTCAGAACGTAGTCAACTTTTCCTGACATGAAGAAAGTTCTTTTGGTTGTATTCCTTTTTTAGTATAACATAGATTCAGGAGAATCCACTTTATAAAGATTTTGTTTACTGATGCAAGTTGTTTCTATTTTATGTATTTGTCGTGTATTGACTCATTTGGCTATAAAAGAAGTGTCAGCCTTGTACCAAAAAACAATCTAACACACCTCTTTTGGGCATCAATAGAATCCTTCACTTTACTCTCAAAATTTTGTCAATCATCTCTCATAAATTCTTCTTGTTCTTGATTTCTTTACTTTGTTCATACTTTACTTTATTTAATCTTCTTGAATACTTTGTTGAAGTTATTTACTTCAACTCTTGACTGGTTTGACCAGACTTGACTGGATCTTAATTACTAGCCATCATTGATATTAAAGATTAATTCAAGATTTGTGTTCGCAAACCTTGTTTGCGTATTTAATAGAATTTAATCACTCACAATTGGGATCAGAGCCTAAATGGTTGTCCTTTGAATCCAAAAGACCAGATTATAGTTGATTTAAAATTACCTTGGTATCTTAATCATTTATGTGTTTAGGATAAAAGTTCTTCTACATGCCACTTCAGCTCTAATATCTTAATATAAATGGCTTCTTCTAATCCTTTTCAACAAATGTATTCAATGCAAATCGCAAATAGCATGTGTTACCCTTCACGTGCACCGCTGCTAGTTGCTGAAGAGTATGATCATTGGAAAGTTAGAATGGAGAGTTTTTTGGCTGGAAAAGATAATGTTGAAGAGATATGGAGGTCAGTGAAAGAAGGTCCTAATGTTCCTGTAAGACAAGTTGTTAGAGATGTTGTTTCTGTTATCATGGGTCAAGAAGAAACACGACAAACACATCTCACTACAAATGACATCGACAAACTCAAAGCAAATCAGATCGCTTTCTCTGAAATGGTGTTTGGTGTTCCACCATCTATCTTTGAAAACATTAAGTTGTGCAAGTCTGCAAAAGAGATATGGGACACACTTCAAGACTTGTTTGAAGGTTTAGAGAATATGAAGGACAAGTGATTGACATCCGTGGTGAACGACTTCGATACTTTCGCAACCACTCGTGGTGAATCAGTCGTATCTGCATCAAATGGGTACAGAATCATTGTGAACAACATGACTGTTCATGGTGTTGTTTGTACTATGCTTGAGTACAACCTGAAGGTCATCAATAGTCTAAGCAAAGGATGGGGGAATGTCAAATCGTGTCTTCAGAGTAATGGATCTCTAAAGAAGTTGAAGCTCTATCAGTTGTTCGATGAACTACAAGGCCACGAATCCAATGTTGCTCAAACATTGAGAGAACTCTCTGGAGGTCCTCTCGTACTTGTCAGTTCTGTCAAGCCACTTGTTCTAAACCTAATTGTTTCGGATCCCTTTGGAGTTACTCCCTCCGTTCCACTTGTTCAACCTACTAAACCTGTTCCAAACCTTCCTTGTAAAGATAACATTGATCCAGAAGCCGCTGCTTTTGAACTTCGTTTCTAGCAAGAGTTCGCACTTCTCTCAATGAAATACAAACGACCATGGAATCCCAATCAAAAACATACCACAACCACTATCAAACTCCTCACCCAAGTAACCCTTAACCTTATCCTAAGCCAACTGAAAACCCAACTGCCTATCGACCCAACATTCCGAATTGAATGTCGGAACCTCAAGAAGTTCCAGAATCAGCCAAACAAAAGATTGTATGTCATAAATATGGTCTTTCAAAGGATTGCTTGGCTGATGAACCTCCAAAACCAAAGGTGAAAGACACTGCTTATTATGTTCGATGTGCTCAGGAACTAGCAGAGAGCGAAAAGGCTTTTGTCACCACTGTTTCACGAAATGTTGATGGCTATTGGTTATCAGGTGATGAGGATGAAGGAAATACGGGTAGAAACTTGTGTATAGTGGATAGGTAAACAACTGAGTGTGATAAAGGTTATTGGTCTTCTGGTTCGGAAGATGATGACGAAGATGCTGAACCACATTACTACTACATGGTATCTAACAATCCACCTGGGGCGAAGCATCATCCAACAGGTAAGATCTATGTCCACTGACAATAACTTTGATTTATCTGTATGTGAACCTTATCTAACTCAAATACAATCAGATATGACAGTTATTTATAAAGCATATGAGTCTTCCTTAGAAGTTAGTTAGAAGCTGGATAGTGAGTTGACCTGACTTAGACTACGATTTGAAGACCGTAAGCTTAAGATTGAATCGTTAGAGCGAGAACTTGTAATGGCCAAAGATGAATGTATTATTTTGAATAAAAATGTGGAGTTTCGATTAGTAAAAGAAATCTTTTGGTTTGTGATAACAAACATTTTAATGCTAAAATCGATAGGTTGCATAACTTTATTGATGTTGTTGAAGCTAATGAAAAATGACTCACAACTCTCGTCATCCTTGGTCCAAATCACTCGGTCTAGGAAGTGAACTTCCGAAACCAGCTGCTCGTCCCTTGACGGAACTTCAAAATTTAACGTTTACGAGAGACATTCTGAATCACACTTATTCGGATACCCCCGTCTCACCATTGTCGTCCCTTCATGTGAACTCAGAAAAATATCAATATTTGATTCATGACTTCAAACCAATCACTATTACATGTCCCGATTCCACGAAATTTCCACCTCGGATATCCCTGGACCTGAATCAATCTTCAAAACTTCCACATATCATAGGTGGTATTGGAGTTTACATTCCGAACTCTGGTCCTCCAAACAATTGTGTTATTGAGGAAATCATTCTTGAGACACGTGGACATGACTCGGACCAAACTAACTCATTTTGGGCTTTCTTTGATACTGATGTGGATGAAGAAATTAGGCGTGATGATGACTCAACATCTAA